TAGAGGAATGAGAGACTGAGCAAGGCTGTTGCTTAAATAAAAATGTATCTTTGTGTATAACAGTGCACAATTATTAGAAGCATCAGTAGACATATACATAGATGCTTCAGATTAGACTAAGAGACAGGCTTGCCAAAGAATCTCCCACTCTAATTACACATTCTCAAGTTTTCCTGGTTTTAAAGGTGATTTTGGTGAGGAGCAGGAAGCAATTTAAAGAATTTACTACCTCCATAACATGACCCTCTACTGATGGCATCTGTCCTCAGATCAATAAATTGGCCCACAGGCTGTGTTGGCCTGGACAGATGAGGGCTTCTGGAGACCCATGTAGTTAAAAATGTGAAAGATGCCCATTTCCATCTATGACTAGCCAGGATAATGTACCCCACCCTGCCTCAAACTCTGTCATCATGATCCATGCATGCGAGACCTCCAGGCTTGATTATGGAAATTCTGTCACAGTTCAGGGCAACTGTATGTATATGTCCCCCTCCGTAGTCCAGCAAGAGCAGCGTATCTCACAGGCCTGGGGAGGCTAAGCTTCCCCAAACAGCCCCATGTGGTCCTGCCCACGTAGTGCCCCCCAGGTCCCCTCTGGCTTACTGCTCCTTCCCCCCCCCCCCCACCTGGGATTAGGACAGCTTGCGGTTGGGACTTGAGGCAGCTCGGGTCAGAGCTCGCACAGCCTGGTGCTGGGGCTGTGCTGCCCACCCAGCATTGGGGGGCCCCCTCGGGGCTCCAGTGGGGGAGGGGCAGAGCCTTGGGCAGAAGGGGTCAGCCTGGGGGCTAGCCTCCCCCAGTGGGTGGATCACACACCCCACATGAGTGAAAATGCCTACTCTAGGCTTCCGGTTCCTCAGCTGTCACTTCTCTTTGGCAGAAGAGTGCCATTCTGAGTTGCTAACCCTAACCCAGACCCCAACCCCACTCCAACCCTTTGCCCAAACTCCCACCCCACCTTTTCCCATTGCTGCTCTGCCCAGCCTCTTCCTGCCCCATTCCTCCCCCAAGTACACGCCATCCTTGCTGCACCTCCTGCATGCCACTGATCATCGGCAGGCATGAGGTGCTGGGGGGAGAGAGAGGAGCTGATCAGGAGGGCCGCTGATGGGTGCTGAGCACCCAATTCCCCCCCCCCCGTGGGTACTCCAGGCCCAGAGCACCCATGGAGTTGGCATGTGTGGCGGAAACCCATGTCTCCCTCCCACCTCACCAGGATTTTTCCAGGCTGCACAGTTCTTTGCCTACATTGATATTCCCAGCAAGCCAGACTGCCTAAACAGATCTTTCCTAACCTTCTGGCTTGCCCTTGCTTCTCTGGGTCTGCCAGCTTCACCACTCCCGCCTCCCAGAGAGCAACTGCAGGCTACTCACCTCTACAGCCTCCAATACTCCTCCTCCTTCCCAGAGAGTGACTGCAGTCTTTCCCAGCAACCCAGCACTTCTGGTGTCAGTTTCCTGGCTTCTATATGTGCCACCTGTTCCTGCACTGGTGAGTTTCTTTTAATTAAAGCTTCTCTTGCAGTCTTAATCTCCTCCCCCCCACCCTTGCCAAGTAATAGGCTAATTGGCCTCTCTGGCTGCCTTAACCCTTTCAGGGCAAGTGTGGGGACAACTCCACACTGTTCTTAGTTCCTAGAGGAACTGTGGTCACCCTCCCACGCAGAATTATGTACCGTCCCTAGCCCACAATGACACACATGTAACCCTTCTGCCTGTCAGAGTTGGCAGCAACAAGGGCCGGGTTCAGTATCTAGGGGTTCCATTTCAATAACAGTGCAAAACCGGCTCAAGCCCCCATCCAGTGACCTGGGACAATTACATACCACCCCCCTGGGCCCCTCTAGGAGGCAATACTTCCCCTCTCGCAAGCACAGAGTCTGAGTGTAGCAAAAGCCTTTTAATAAAGGAGGGAAACAATGTGGCATTATGTTGGGGAACCACCACAAACAGGATTCATAACACAAACCATGAGCAAAAGACCCATCCCCAAGTAAGTTTGGCAGTGTCCTTTCCCCCTCAGGGTCTTAAGTCCAGCAACTGCACAGTCACCCCACCCACAGTTTCTGACCTTGGTCAATGCTGCCCCCAGAGTTCAGAAGTTCCTCTGCAGAGTTTACCTCCCAGCCTGGGTTGAAGTGGGGGGAGGTATGGGGAGCTCTGCTGCTCAGGTTGACAATTGCCACACCTCTCCATGGGGTTCTGCTGCAGTCTTCACCACTAGCCACTCCTCTCAACTAGCCATCCTACTCACCAACTTGTCTTCAGGCCCCCTCCTTAACAGCTCTCAGCAATCTCTGCTCTTAGAAACTTCAGCTCTCAGTGATTTTAGCTGGTAGTAGGGGAGCCTCAGTGCTGGTACACCATTAGCCCAAAATAGGTCTAATGCTTAGATCTAGGTATCATTACATGTGGCAAAGCTGAATTCACTAAGACTCTTAATGGAGTCAAAATTAACCCTGTTCTTGCACAGTGGAGATAAGTGATATTTCAGACAGAGCGAGCCAGCCAGCCCACCCCCTATACATGTCTGTCCCTACCCTCTCAATTTACTGTGTCTTGGAACCCAAGTCCCCTGCCTAGCAAGTGTTACTTAGTTGAGGGCGAGTCCCTCCTTCTTAAAATGCCAAGTATAGTTCTACTGTCCTTTATTCACATAACCAGGATAACAACCCTCCATTACTCCTGCCCCAATAACAAAGAGACTGGGGATCCCACAGCAGCCAAAGTGACCATTTGAGCAAGCAGTCCATCATGCTAGGCAGGGCCTATGCAAACAAGATCAGCCCCTGAAATCCTTTTCCACAGCTCACCTCCAGATGTCAGGGGAGAGCTCATTCTGACTGCTTACACCTAAACTAATACAGTAAGATCTCCCAAAGATAGTGGCAGGAAACTGCTATATCTGTCACACTAAGAATGAAAGTGCCAACCTTAAAAACAGCTCAAGTTCATTCAGAACATAGCAGCTTGTCTGCTCAGAAAGACAGGCCACTGAGAACACATTAACATGGTGTTCTGCTGTCTTTGCTAAACCTCTCTCCCCTTTGAATCGTTAGATTCAAGGTTTCACTCCTCTTCAAAGCCCACCCCGAGAATGGCCCAAGTTACCTGAGGGAGTCTCTGTGCGTACAAGACCTCCCATGACATACATGTTCTACTGCAGACATACTGAATTTAAATAGAAGTACTTCATTTTGTAGCTACTAGCAGCTGCAGATAGGGGTGTACTATGCCTGCTTGTTACAGTTAAGAGTTTTATAATAACTAATTTTTCCTTCTGATCAATTTCTGCCCAGAGAGTGAAATAAATTTCTGCTTAATGTTGTTCAGAAATTCTCAATATATCTGGAAGAGCCATGCACCTCCTCGTCAGCTGCAACTGACACTATCTTTGAATTCCTCCATACCACATTTCAAACCAACTTTGAAAAATTTCCAGAGCATGTATTGCTTAGGACTGGTCATACACAGTATCTTTCTGGAGGCCTGTGTAATGTTGAAGATTCATATTCCTCCCTGGTTATAGTTGCATCTGTTTCTGCCCAACTATTTCTTCTCCTTAGAGCTTCCCTTTTCTTCCTTCTCCCCTTCCTAACGCATGTTCCACACTTAGATCAAATGTTTTAATTTACCATAATCTGTCATTCTGGGTGCCCTCAATTGAGGATTGAGATCAGGGTCAGAGTTGAGTTGATGTTGGCAAACATTTTTTGCTTATGTGTTATTTCATTTCCATAAAAAGGTGGATTAAGTGGTGAAAGAATGCCCCTTTCCTTGGGTCATTCCTTCCTGGACAACTTTTTTCCTTCAATAATCATAAGTAGTTATATTAAAATTGAAGAAAGGTTTTTGCCCCTCCCACCGAAGCCCCTTGAACATCTGATGTCTGTTGTATGCTTTTGGGGTGTTTGCAGATTCTTCCCCACTTAACCCTGGTTTTATTCCACAGGCCTGTCATGAGTCCCTGGTGAGTGCTGGGAATCCAGGGAAGTGTAGGAAAACTCTGTCTATTGGCACCTAGTGAATATAGCAATATCTGCCAAATTCTGAAACCAATTACACTTCTGTAGGCACAGGACCACAACAACCCAAGTGCCCTCTGAAACATCCTTGGTCGTCTTAGGTGTCAAATATTTTCAGAGAGGCTCGCTAAAGGAAGCTTATCTGTATTACTGTAAATCAGGGGTCGGCAACCTTTCAGAAGTGGTGTGCCGAGTCTTCGTTTATTCACTCTAATTTAAGGTTTCACCCGCCAGGAATACATTTTAATGTTTTTAGAAGGTCTCTTTCTACAAGTCTATAATACAGAACTAAACTATTGTTGTATGTAAAGTAAATAAGGTTTTTAAAATGTATAAGAAGCTTCATTTAAAATTAAATTAAAATGCAGAGCCCCCTGGACCTGTGGCCAGGACCTGGGCAATGTGAGTGCCACTGAAAATCAGCTCGAGTGCTGCCTTTGGCACGCGTGCCATAGGTTGCCTACCCCTGCTGTAAATGGACAGCACTTCTGAAAATCTTGTTGCACACAAGTTAAAATTGCCAGTCATTTGTTTTTAGGACATTTTAAAACCAGTTGATCAGCAAGGTGGTAAATCTAAGTAGAGGGTAACTTCAAAGAGACACTTAAAAAGCCATGTGATTAATGCAGTGAGTAATTTTGTTTATATAGATTTCTTATTAAATATACAACTCTTACTTTAGAAGCCTTTGATATAATAAACTATTAAATTGAAACAGCAGTTAACACACCAGCAGCCTCCTAGTAAAAACAATCCTACTTGATTACAAACCCTTTGTGGGGTAAAAAAAGTTCTCTTATGAAGACTGGAAATATTTAACAATAAGAGAATGCAGGTATTTCTCCTCTTAGTTTGTCCTATTGTTATGCAATACAGGCAGCTTGTTCTTGTAGCCTGCCGCTTTAAGAAACAATAGCTGAGGTACAGAGAAAAGCTGATGCTTTCTGCAGAGCCCCAGCAGGCTGGGGAGAAAGGAGAGCGAGAGTAGTGATGACATCACCATCTTCCCCAGCCAGAAGGCAGGCGCCTTATGCGGGGAGGGAGGATTCAGCCACAGCAGCAGTGACTAGGAACCTGTACCTCGGATAATCCAGGCATAGATAAGCATTTGAAAAAAGGATGTTCCTCCAGCTGTAATTACAGGTAACTATTTCATACTGAACAAATGCAATGCTTTCTGGGATCCAATCCATTCTCTTAGCGCTCTGGGCATTTGCTCTGGGGCCCTTTGACAGGAAGGTTTACAGATACTGTATATGGGGTGACATTTTAGAGGAGGATGGGAGGGAGAGGATGATACCTTTTGTTCTTAGTTGCATCTCTTTCTGCAGTTAGCAGTCAGATCACTGTGCAGTTCCTTGGATAATACTTCTCCTGCTGTGGGAAATCCAGAGAGAATGAGCCTTCAGAAGACAGAATGTCCTGACTTTCATTTAGTATAAATGGAGGATGGCCATTACTGTGAAAATTTCACAAGGGCTGATATGATTTGTGGTTTTCTGCTTCAAATGCTTCATGTTGGTGAATAGGTCACCTGGGCTCTAAATTGCCTTCCTGACAATAGACAGGGTGACAGAATGGATTTTATTCATACATTTTGATCAACAAACCTTGTATTTCAGAACATTTGGGGAAAGCATCAAGAACGCTTGTATATCTTATACAAGGTGCTGGGAAATTATATATTTTATATTTGCAATTCAAAGCTTGTCTCACACGATAAACAAAAAAAATGAATGAACTCTGAAGTCTGGGCAAATCTGCTGTTAGACTCATTTGCCTTAGTCTCCTGCACTAGAGTGATGGTTTCTCCGCATTTCCATTGCTAGATCACGGATAGTAGATTTAATTCTTGGCTGAAACTAGAAGCAAAGGGAAATTTTCAGCCCGTGGCACAGAGTTCTAGACTGACATTTTCATGTGAAAATTAAGATTAGTTGCACATTCAGTGCTTTGAAAATTAATCTCAAAGTCTTAGTCCAAGAGAAGTTTCTTTTTCTAATATTTTTTTTAAAAATCCCGTTTTGGTTAATGAGGGTACTAAGAGCTTAGGTATATAATGTTCATGCATGCATCCTTCTGACTATTCATGAGCCTGGTTGACAGGACAATGGCTTGGTTCTAAAAGGTAAACACTTATTACATTTGTAACACTAAAAAATTTCCAGTTTAAAAAAATCTTTAAATTAAAAGTGAAATGTAACTGAGTTATATACTGGTTGCTTTAGATACAGTAAGTTTTATCCCTCAAACTGTTTAACTCCCAGGGAGATGTTACCTGATTTGCTACGTTAGGGAAGTTTGTAATTTAGCGGAGGGCCCCTGTGCTAGGAGGATGGGTTCTATCCCCTGAGAGGTGGAGCTGAGATGAAACTCTAGGGAAAAGCAATCTTACTATTAGTGTTTAGACTCAACCTCCCAAACCCCATAAGTAAAGTATACTCAAAATGAAAGCTGCTCAATTCAATAATATCTCCTACTTATGCAGAACCTCTCAATCCAAATGATCTCAAAGTGCATTACATATTTTTTGAGTTATATACAGGAATCTCTTCATAGAATCATAGGACTGGAAGGGACATCGAGAGGTCATCTAGTCAGTCCTGCCACGAGTGCTGGGACTGAAGTATTATCTAGACCATCCCTGAAAGGTGTTTATCTAACCTGCTCTTAAAAAATCTCCAATGATAGAGATTCCATAACCTCTCTAGGCAATTTATTCTAGTGCTTAACCACCCTGACAGTTAGGAAGTTTTTCCTAATGTCCAACCTAAACCTACCTTGCTGCAATTTAAGCCCATTGCTTCTTGTCTTATCCTCAGAGGTTAAGAACAGTAATTTTGGTCCCTCTTCAAGTACATAAAAGGTTGTTACAAGGAAAACTGTTATCATATCCCCTCTGAGTCTTTTCTTTTCCAGTCTAAACAAACCCAATTTTTTCAGTTTTCCCTCATAGGTCATGTTTTCTAGACCTTTAATAATTTTTGTTGCTCTTCTCTGGACTTTCTCCAATTTGTCCACATCTTTCCTGAAATGTGTGCCCAGAACTGGACACAATACTCCAGTTGAGGCCTAATCAGCACGGAGTAGAGCAGAAGAATTACTTCTTGTGTAGGGTTACCATAAGTCCTCTTTTTCCTGGACATGTCAGGCTTTTCGGCACTCAAACCCCCGTCCGGGGGGAATTGCCAAAAAGCCGAACATGTCCGGGAAAATGGCAGCTCTGCTCCTCTCCAACTC